GTTATTAAATTTTGCTTTTTCTTTGGTTTTTACTAATGAATGTTTAAGCAGTATTCCACATCTTGAACAGTTGATAGATGCAAATGAGATCAAACAAGATGACTGCATTAATTCTGAGCTGGATAAGAAAAAATTGGGAAGTTTTAAAGAATAATAAGGCTCCTGGGACAGATATTTTCCCCAATGGTTTTGAAGGAGGTTAAATATTGGATATGCAAGATACTTGCTACTATTTTTGTCAGGACTTGAATAGTGGGCAGGTACCAGACGATTGGAAGTTAGCTAACGTATCTCCTCTTTTCAAGGGAAGAGGTAAAAATTGTTCCAGTAATTATAGACCCATTAGTCTTGCATCAGTTGTAGAAAAGGTTTTGGAAAGTCATTTAACAAAGTTTATAATTTTATTGCATAGTCAACATGGTTTCACTAAGGGAAAATCTTGCCTTACATATTTTTTTACCTTCTTTGGAAAGGTTACTGCTTATGTATACTTGGTGTATCTAGATTTTCAGAAAGCAATTGAGAAGGTGTCACATAAAAGGCTTGTAAAAAGATAAACTGCTGTATAGGTGTGGGGGATAACTTGGCAAATTGGATAGAAGAGTGTCTGAATGGAAGAAAGCAGAGGGTTGTTACAAATGGAGTTCAGTCAATCTGGATTAATGCCAAAAGTATGGTACCTCAGGGCTCAGTCTTAGGAACTTTGCTCTTTTTGATTTACATCAGTGATATAGAAGAAGGAACTGTGAATAAGTTACTTAAATTTGCAAAAGATATTAAGGTTTTGGGTGTTGCTAGCTGTGAAGAGGATGCTGTTGATATATAAAATGATTTAGATCATTTAGAGAGTTGGCCAAATAAATGGCAAGTGGTTTTAATTATAATAAATGCAAGATAATGCATGTCAGTTAGTATAATTTGGATGGGAATAACCTTAATAGTGTTACGAAAGGATCTTGGTACAATAGTCGATCAGTCTCTAAAGCCATCCGAGCAGTGTGCTGTTGCGAGTGGTAGGGCAAGTAGGATTTTAGGTTGTATCTACAGAAATATTGAATACAAGTCTAAAGAGGTTATGATTTTGTTGTATAGGTCACTCGTTAGGCCACATTTGGAGCATTGTGTTCGGTCTTGGGCTCCTTATATTAGGAAATATATTGAATTGTTGGAAAGGGTTTAGAGAAGGGTTACTAGAATGGTGTCTGGGATGGAGGGTTTGTCATTCAAGGGGAGGTTGAAATCTCATTGTTTTCTCTTGAAGAAAGAAGTTAAGAAGGATCTGATTGAGGTGCTGTGCCCCCGCCTGTATGTGCTCCACCATTTCCGTATTCATGGCGTGTTAGATCCCACTTTTGTCCCCATTTTCTTGTAATAATAATTCATGATTGTGTGGCAGCTAAGCATCGGTAGAATTATCGATGTACTGCTGTCTATGATGATGATTGAGGTGTTTAAGATTTTAAAGGGAATTGATAGTGTTGATGCATCATATTTTATTCATATTTAAAAGGAGGATAGTAGGACTAGGGGACATAAATATAAAATTTGGCAGGGTAGAAGTCCTCTTCAGCTAACAGTTTTATTTTTTTAACAGAGTGGTTGGCCTTTGGAATGGGTTGCTTTCGAATTATGTAGAGGCAGTAAATTTAAGTGAGCTTAAGACAAGGTTTCATAAGTAAATGAGTGATAAGGGCTGGCTTTAAGATTTTTTTTCTTTAAATTTATTTATTAATAGTTGTTTTTTTTTAGTTTAGTTTACACTTTGAAAAGACCAGTTTTATACTATTGGATACAGTAACATGTGTTGTGCCATTGCAAATTCTGTAATGTTAGTTATACATAGCTATACAATTTTTAGTCATTCTAGAAGGAAAAATGCATAATTTATATCTATTTCCTAGTTTTTATGTTGGTTAAGAGGTCTTTCAAATCAACTAAACTCATTCAGAGATACAATAGTGAATATAACAGATAAAATAAAGTTTTTCCTAAACAAAAATGTTTGATAATTATCTGGAGGTTATACATATTTTGCATGTGAAATTTAACAATTTCTGATGCATAAAAGTATTTTTAATCTTAAAATACAAATTACTCTGCATGTTGGACAGTCAACGTTTAAAAAGAAAAAATGCAGGAGCAAATCATTATTTAAAAAAACATAAAACTTAATAATAAAATCAGCTATTTTGTTTACAAAAGCCTTGTAATTTTTACTAATAATCTACAAAATTATTAAACAAGTTTTTTTTCTTTTCTTTTTCTATTTCAGTAGATATTGACACTTTTTTGCCCATCTCGGGCACTATGAGTTGATCATAGTTTGATATGCAGTGATGTAGCTAGTTGATAGTTCAGGTTAGGCTGTAAGCTACAAATTAGGAATGTTTCCTTTTTTTCTTAGCATCGATTCATCTTTCACCTGAGTATATTATTCTGAAGTGTTCGGTTTTTCGTTACTTGTAAATTCCAGAGTTATTGAAAGGGCTGTTATGTGCATGCACCTTGATTCTGGTAGCTATGGTTTGAGTCGTTGACCCAAAATAGACTTGTGACACAAATATTTGTATACTACCAGTTTTTTGGTTTTGGTTTTTTTAAACAGGAAAAATTTGCGTATCTGTTTGGTCAGTTTGAAGATTACTCTTGGGCTGACTTGGGGATAAGTTCTATAAACTAAAATGCTTACTAAATTTAGTTTTGCAACAGTTTGGTATAAATGTGCTGAAGTGACGGTACAGGCCAGAAAATGTTGGTTTGTGGTAGTACTTAGTTTTGAACCTGTAGTTCTGGTTGATGACTTCTAGATCTAAAAAAAAGGCAGCTTGGATTCTTTTTGCTTATCAACTGTGAACTCTATATTCCTGTGCTTTGAATTTAAATAACCTTAACTTTTTGACATGGTTTTGCTTTCTGAATACAATAAAAGTATCATCAACGTATCTTTTATAAACTAAAGGTTTAAATTCGGATGGACATGACTGTAACCAATTGGTTTCCTGATGAGATAAGAACAAATTAGCCAGTATGGGAGCATGTGGTGAGCCCATGGCTACATCATTAATTTGATCATATGTCTTATTATTCAACACAAAATGAGATTCTTTAGTCATAATATCAAATAGTTTTATTAATTGATTTTTAGTTAATCCATTGACTTTAGTGTTATCAGGAAATATTAAATCGCTACTTATCTTTATTACTTCATGAAGAGGAGTGTTAGTGTATAATGACTTAATATAAAAATTTGTGATGTAATGTATACAGATGAATCAAATTCCATGGATTTGACGAAATTAGAGAAATCAGAGGTTATTCTTTAAAGGACTACATTATTTAAACATTTTAGATTATTTAAGACAGCTGTTTTATCATTGGACAGGTTATTATGTTTTTTCAAATGATAAGCATGGAATTCAGATAAAGCTATTCCTAATATTTTTGTGATAAAGTTATCAAAGGTGTACCTGTTTTTAGTCCAAATGGGTAACGGTTTAACGCTAGTTAGTACTTTTTCAAAATTTACAAAGAAACCAATATTACCTGTCCAATGATGAAACAGTTGCCTTGAATAATATAATAAGTAGTTAATTATTAATAAAAAATATATATAAAATCAAACCTTTTGCTCTATGTTACCTTCCCATTACCAATATCAGTGATTGATATCAAATTATCACTAGCTGGTAACATGATACTGTGTGATACCCGTGTCAAGGCAAGTCCCAATAAAGTCCATCAGTTTCAAACTTGCACACGGGTATTGTGGTAGTACTTAGTTATATGGATAAATGAGATAAATTATCAATAACCAAATATTAATAATGAAATATGAGCTTGTCTTTGAAAGTATAGGAGAGATTTTGTAATCACATTGGTTGTAAACTTGAAATACCAGATATGTAACATCTACCTGTTCTATTCATGTCATAATGTAATTGATATATCGTTCATACCACTTGTAACTGTTGTAGTACATGTTTTTTTGATGTAGCTACACCCAAGGATATGATGTATAGCAAACTGTTGTTAGGACAACATAGTGTGTTTATGCCCAGTGATATGATATAAAGAAGTAGTTGGCAGAACAACATATCGGTTGTTTACAATCCTCATTCATCATTTTTTGACTTTCTGTCAGTTCAATTTGGGCAGATATATCTATGTATCAGTTTATGCATAATATAATATGCACCACAGAGTTTATTGTATGGCTTTGTTTCTACAAATTCAATAGCTTAAAAGAATTTTAGATGGTTTTAAAGATTTCTTTGTGTTTTCGAATAGTAAATGTTTCTGGTTCCAGTGAAACCAGCTAGACCAAAGTAGACCATGAAGAGAGTTATTGTTTGGTGTATCACTGAACTTTATTGGTCCAGCCAATTTGAACTGACACTGTGTGTTTAGTTTTAACATTTGCTTGAGATTATCATGTCAAATCAAAAGTTATTTTTCTCTTCTTACATATAACTTTTCTTTTTTTCTGCAAGTTAATCTGGTTGGGTTTAAGCTAGTTCTTTTTTATCATTGTGTCCATAGTTTTAAACTGTTACCTGGTATCTCTTGCATTTATTATAGAAGCTATTTGTGTTGCTATGACACCAGTATAATCAAATAGACAATCTGAATATATGAATACGTACATATTTCGGTGGTTAAACGCTCGATTTGGACAGTTAGTGGAATTTGATAATAGAGCTCATTAATAAATTACATTACACAAATTCTTACATGAGATTGATATTTGGAGTAATTGGAGGCACTAATTTCTATCAGTTGATTATTCTTGTGAGTTGTGATACTAAGCAATTAAGCTGAACAACTTTGAATTAATTAGAAATAATAATTGCAATATTCTGATCACCTGGATAGTTTCAATTATTTTATTATTTTTATGGAATTCATTGATTTTTATTTAATTTTGGTTAATCAGTTATTTTATATGACAATAACTGATGCTCATAGGTAATTGAGTTAAGCTACTGTCAACTAATTAATTACTTGGTAACAGTGGAGTTAATATTTCCACTGACTTTACATTGTGTGTTTTTAAAAGTTTAGTTTAGACCAAAGGTCACATTTATGCAAAATCATTTATTATATGTGCACAGGAAATTTAAATAAAGTACAAAAAAAATTACACTATTGTGTGTCTAAAATGCACATGTTTGCATATGAGTTACAAAGTGTTTATGTAATGCAATATTGGATCTGTATCATCTATCCAAAAGTGATAAGAGTTCAGTAACAAGGAGCAAATTAGCCTGTTGGTGGTGGTATACAATGTACATTCCTACAAATCATGTTGAAGAAAAGTAAATGTTTTTTAAAGTATAAGTATGTTATAGAACAGTAAGCACCTATACATAGTTATTACTGGGTATGCATAATAGTTTTTGAAATTGCTGTAGAAGTACATACCTATATTAGTTTCTTACAATTGATGTTTTTATTCTTTATTGAACAATAAAAACTCAAAAGTATTCTTTCATGCAAATACTGGGACAACTAAAATTGGATTGTTTCTGCATTATTATTTACAGCATACCAATTTCAGTACTTGCTCTCACAGCATTCTCAAATATCTGTTAAACTTCTTTTTTCAGCCTGTTGTGAAATAATTGAGTATTTTATTTCTGTCAGCATGTGATTGTTTTAATTATTATATTGCAACATTGTTATAAGTACATACATGCATAGTAAACAATATACCATTTCAGGTGAAGTTGGGATTATATTGGTGCCCAAATGCCGAGCCAAGACAATCGGTTGAAGCACTTCAAGAATAGGGGGAAAGATGTGGAGGTATTTATTTAACCTACTATTTTTATTTTTTTCATTAATTAATGGTTTTGCTTAAGTATAATGTTTAAAAATAATATGGGCTACTTAACCCTATTTTTATGGGTAGCTCAAAGTGTGCATTCGAACTGAATTACACTACTTTATTATCAATGCATACAACTTGGCATCAAAACATAGTTAATAAATCATATAATTTTTAATGTTTTTAATTTTAAAAGATATCAAATTCTCAGTCTCTCTCTCTCTCTCTGAGATGTATAGTGACGTTTGTTTGCTCCTACTTGCCCATTCTCTTTTTTATCATCACCCATCTCTGGTGCCCTGAGTTTAGTGTAAATTACTCATTTTAGTATAGATCGGTGATTCCCAACCTGTGGTCCCCAGACCCCTGGGGATCCGTGAAGATAATACTATCTCATTAAATGAGTAAGTTTGTTTAATTCTGCTGTTCTTTTAATTGCACACTCAGCTATATATGTCTTTTATTTGATAGTGAAAAATGGAAAAACAAGTTAATTATTAGTAACAAAAACAGTTTGTTGGGTAGATAGAATCTTTCAAAAAACATTGGGGTCCTTGGTGGTCAAAAGGTTGGGAACTGCTGCTATAGATGTTACTAAGGGATGGTCTAAGTTTTGTAGCCAGCCTTCATTCTTTTTGTTTACAGAGACAAATCAAAGTCGGGCCCACCCACGCCCGCCTATCACATCCTTTTTCACAAATTGCCAATAATTTTCTCTGACATTTGCTATATCTTCATTTATAACTAATACAGAAGTTAGTTTGAATTTACTGAATAATGTATAATGCTACTTTGTTTTCAATAGAGGTTTGCAGTTATTTCAGCTATAAATTGAAAGCTGCTCCCACTTGAGTTCAGATCAAGTATCTAAAGAAATTATATTAAGGCACTTATGCATTAGTTAGAAAGCCAATTAAATCATAATAGTCATGGGACATTTAATAGTCAGTTATTAAAAACAAAGTAGGCTTAAATTTCATCAATGGGCAGGCAGCAAATAAATGAAGCCAATCAAATACAAAGTTTCTTGTTTTTATGTGTATTTTTTACTTGTTGATATAAAAGTAATTAATGTAAAAATTAAAATTAGATAATGGGGGGGGGGGGTAATCTATACGGCATTTATCCGTGTGATTTAGTTTTTTATTGCAAGATTTTTAGCTACATGGTTCAAAAGTAATAAAACAATAGACTTGAAAAAAAAATGGGCCTAAACTGTTATGAGCTTTAAGCTGTTTTAAAAAGGAAAAAAAAAAGTAATCTAGATTTATTTTGTATGTTTTTGTGGTGGTTACAAGGTTGTTCACATCAAAGAATTTTATATAGAGAAAATAAGATATTTAAAAAGAAAAAAAAGCTTACTGAAAAAACCACATGGTATCCATTTATGAGGTTTCGAAGGTTATGCAAATAAAATTTGAAAACTGTAAAATGATAAGTTTTATCAATAACGTGAAAATCACCTGCATGGTCTAGTCAACACTCAGACTCAATATGTTCATGAACAATTCTTGATAAAGGTATATTTAATTTAAAATATATTTGTGTTTTGTGTACAAAAGACTTGTAATATTTAGTAAAAGCTTGCCAAATTTCTTGGAATTAGTCAAAGTAAATTGGGAATTACAGTAATTATCTCACCTGTGTGCATAGGGTTAAAAACATTTTAGGGCTTTTAACATTGTATCATCATTTAGTTGCAAAATTAGTAATGGTTACGTAACTTGTCAAAAAATTTTGCTTCAATTTCATTTCCTCATCCTGCATCAGGTAGATCAGAGTGCATATCATAAACTTCTACAGAGTCACATTCAAAATTTAAGCTATTTTATTTTCAATGTATATGAATAAACATGGCATCAAAATGTAGCTGATAAATTTGAATATTATTTAAATTTTAAGTTCTTCCTTTCATAAGGAATTGTTAATCTTCAATTTCCCCTAGTATGAAAATTGTGACATATGCTCTCTAGGTCTTCACTCTTCAGTAATTTATTTACCACCCCACCAAGAAGTAGGGAATTTAACATAAATTACTTAATATTGTCATCACTCAGGCAAAGGCTAATTTTATTAGTCTTCAATCTTATTTGTTTACAGAGCCATAAACTAGAAAATCAGACCCACTTGCCACTCCCACCTGTTGCATCCTCTTTCACAAATTGCCAATAGTTCTCTCTGATGTTTAATACTGTATTATTTATGACCAATAGAAAGCCAAAGTATTAATCTATCAAATGTCTTATTATATTACATGGTGTTCTGTACTGAGAATTGTCTATTTTGCTTCCAATTCAAACTTTATTCTCACTGGAAATGTATCAAGGAACTTAGTTGAATTTTTAACGCTATCGACCCAGGTATCCTTTACTGTGCATGACACAAGGTTTTAGTGTCTTATATTAAAAAAAATTTTTATTAAACTACTTTTTGTTTATGTTATACCAATTACAATAGCATAAAATCTTAGCTAATAATCCATAATTTAATAGTATACAAGTTTTAAGTTCTTAATTTTTCAAGACTATTAAAAAAAAGAATCCTGAATTTCCACTAGTGTGACCCACGTGACACATTTTCTCTTAGCATGTCATCATTCCCATTTTATTCACCACCCCTCGAAAGTATAAAATTAAACATAAATTGCTCTCTAAAATTGTTATTGCTCGGACAAACTATAATTTTTATAGCCTTCAATTTTTGTTTGATTACACAGCTATCAATTAGAAAATCACACCCACCTGTCACATCTCTTTCAGAATTTGTTGATAGTTCTCTCTAATGTTTAATTATGCATTACCTATAACCAATAGAAAGTCAAGGTTTTCATGTATCAAATGACGTATTTTATAACATTGTAAATAGATGTATACTTTTACGGACTTAATGCTACTTAGGGTAAACGAATGTAGTTTCATGTTACAATTTGAAGTCATTCTAGAAAAAAAAAAGGTAATTTAGGTTTATTTGAATTTTTGTTTTTAGGTGGTTATGAGGTTGGTTGGAATTGACCGATCCCATTTTGAGATTAGGGTAGAGAAAATAACAGATA